TAACATTTTAATTTTATTATAAATTAGTTACACTCCATTTGCAAATGGTCCTGATGATACACCAGAGGAAATATTGGCACGAATAGGTAGCGGAAAATTCTCACTCAGTGGTGGTTACTGGAATTCTGTTTCAGATACCGCAAAGGTAAGTATGGATTCCTATTACAAACTCTTGTGTTTTGTTCTGTTCTGTTCTGTTTTGTTTTGGGAGATGAAATTCAGGGCCTCTGGCATGCTAAGCATGTACTCTACCACTGAGCTAATCTTCATCCCTGTTATAGGCATTTAAGAAAATGATTTGTCATAAGCTATGGTAAGAAGAAATGCTATCAGTTAGCAACTTTTGCTTATTGAGTAGCATGTTGAAGTTATGTTACTAAATCAACTCCAAAATGGGCCATTTACTTTTCTTTCCCAGAAGACATTGGTTTGGCCTTGTATCTATACATCTAAAACTATTTCTTACTGGCAAACATGATGAATAATAATGGTGATACTCCTCATGATTTGTCTGCCTGCTATGTGCCTCACACTACACTTTATCTAAATAATCTCATGTAATCCTCACCACAAACCTGTAAAATAGATGGTAGTATCTATTTTACAGGAAGAAACCAAGGACCACTGTTTTAGTGTAAACTTGTCTATGGTTAATATCCCAGATACATGTGGGCACTTTAAGTATCTAATTCCAAATCCCTCATTCCCTAGAATAATGATAACATATTCTAGTTTTGATTCATATTATGAAGAAACAGGTCTCATTTTTACAATAAGCAGTAGCGTATTTTTATAGCCTTTGCTTGCAATCACTTTGAAAAGCCTTCCCTAAATCTGCCATCCAATAGCTGACTTGCCTTCCTTCTCCGCTGTACTTTTACTTTATTCACACAAAGTTTTGAAAAAAATTGAATTTTCCACTTCAAAATAAAAACAGAGGCCCGGGGATTTAGCTCAGTGATGTCGCCGCCTGCCTCGCAAACAGAAGGACCTGAGTTCCATCCTTGGTACCAAAAGAAAAAAAATACGAAAAACATAGAGATGAAGAAACATTGGTAAAAGTGCTTACTGATTTTTCTTTAGGGATGGAAGATGGAGTTGAGGTGATTGAATAAGTAAATAGAGCACATAGAAATTTTTAATAGATTCTTTTGGCATAGATTGTGAAGCTTGTTAACCAGTTTAATATTTAGTTTTTAAACTGCTTTTAAAATGAAATGTTAGAGCTGGGAGTGGTGTCACATGCCTGTAATCCCAGCACTCTGGGAAGCTGAAGCAGGACTATTGCAAGTTTAAACCAGCATGGGCAATTTAACAATGTAGCAAGACCCTGTCTCAAAATAACAAATAAAAACAGGCTAGGGATGTAGTTCAGTGTGAAGGCCCTATGTTCAGGACATAACAAAATGAAATGTGAGGGAGGAGGTGAGTACTATAAAATAAATAAATAATAAAATGAAATGCCAGGGCGGGAGTATAGCTCAGTGATAGAGCATGTGCTTAGCACATGTGAGGCTCTGGGTTCAATCCTCAGAACCCCACACACACAAAATTTAAAATTAAATGTTAGCCTTTACCTTTTTCTAACAATAAAATATCTTAAACCAGATACTTCACATTTTCTGGGTACCCATGTCCTGTAAATTAAGAGTCTCCAGTCTACCCCCACCCCCGCATCCATTTTCTTACACACTTAGTGAGTGTGATCTCTCTACAAACAGGACTGCATCATGTTCTTGCTTTAAATGCCTTATTGGCCTGACTAATCTGGTCCTTTCTCACCTCTCATACTATACTGGCTGCCACATTCTCCTTGACAATAAATGTATGCATACTGCAGCCACACTACACTCCAGTCAGTTCCTCAACTGTGATATGTTCTCTCATACCCGAGGGGTTTCCTCCACGTTCACTCCTTTTGTGTACCTGAAACACTATTTCCCCCTTCCTTTCTCTAATCTAGCTTTTGCTTATCCTTCAGATCTCACTTTCCCTTTTTTTTTTTTTTTGGTACCGGGATCGAACTTGGGACCTTGTGCTTGTGAGGCAGGCAGTGGAACCACTGAGCTAAATACCCGGCCCTCACTTTCCTTTTAGGAAATCATTTCTAAGCCAGCCCACCTAGTTCAGCTCGTAGGTCTCTTTATGTTCTTCTAGCTGTACCTTGTACTTGTCCATCCTATCAGAACTTATTTGCTTTGTAATTGATTCTTTGCCTTTCCTTCATTGAACTGAAAGCCTCATGGGGCCAGAGTTCTTGTCTGCTTCTTTTTTTTTCCCCTGAGACAAGTTCTCACTATGTAGTCTGGGCTGGGCTCAAACTTGCTACATACTCTGGGCTAGCCCCCAACTCATGAACCTCCTACCTCACTTCTCTAGCTTTTATAAATAACAGTTATATTGTCATTTTGAAAGATGCAAAACCATGTAGCGACAACATGGATCTATATTCCATGTGTAGGAAGATGTTTGATAGATAGGCACTGTTAATAGTGGTTGTCTCTGGAAGAATATTAGGATGGGTGTTCTTCTACGTTCTTTTACTTCTCCATATTTTCCAGTTTATTTGTAATGCACATGAGTTGCTTTTGAAAGAGAAAAAAATTTAGGAACTCTACAATCTTCTGGGTGGGCATTTAGAGCCCTCCAATTAAATTCCTATTACTGGATATTCATGTTCTGCTTTTCAGTATTACCAGCAGCACAGAAAAAAGCCTTAAGTAGTTGATATTATTTAGAAATGAACCTCCAAAAATGTAGGAACCAGAAAATATGAAGGAAAAGAACCGGAGTACTTAAAAATTTATAAAATGTGGTAAATTGTCCCTTTGTAATATACCAAAATTACTGTTACTCAGGTAAAAGAAAAGAGAGACTTGAATATTTTTTCCAAATTGTCGTGTTGATCAAAGTGCTTTGAGCCCAAAGGGCTGCTACCAGGAAAAAATAGTGACCTAGAAGCTAAGGAAGAATGCTTCCAGGTACCAAGTGCCATAGAAATAGAATCAAAAAAGGATTAAGCTTGTTTCATCTTTCTCATGACAGGACCTGGTATCAAAGATGCTTCACGTAGACCCTCATCAGAGACTGACTGCTGCTCTTGTGCTCAGACATCCTTGGATTGTCCACTGGGACCAGCTGCCACAATACCAACTGAACAGGCAGGATGCACCACATCTAGTAAAGGTGAGCAGCCCCAGCCAGTCACTGTTTTCCACGTGTCACCCTCTCTGTGACCCAACACCTTTCCCTTTCAGCCTGCATCTATTCTAGTATGGCGTTCTCTTACATAGGTGACTTAAAAAGAAAAAGCCAAGGTGTACCAAAATATCATTAATGAGCCAGGCATGGTGGGCCTATAATCCCAGCACTGTGGGAGGCTGAGGCAGGAAGATCACCGTGAGTTTGACACCAGCCTGGGTTACATAGGGAGTGCAAGGCCAGGCTGAACTACATAATGAAACCCTGTTTCAAACCATCCCCCCCAAAAAAAAAATATATATATATAAGTAATGAAATTAAGGGTGACTTCTAAATTTTATCACTATACATAAGTAGATTTATTCAGTATCAATCATGACAGATAAGCTTATGGATTTTCTAAACTGAAAGAGTGTGCCTTGCAGCCTCATATTAAAGTATTGCAAAAGACAAAAGTTGAATAGGCCTGAGAAAAGTAAGGACTGCAGGTTTCTAAGTCCATCACTGTCCTCTCACATTGGTTAAATCAGAGGATTTGACCAGTACAATTATTTTCATTATGAAACTAATAAAATCTAGGTACATTTGCATATGAAAAAATTCGTGTACATGTTATTTTTGTTGTTATGTTTCCTTTTTTCAGGGTGCCATGGCAGCTACATATTCTGCTTTAAACCGTAATCAGTCACCAGTTTTGGAACCAGTAGGCCGCTCTACCCTTGCTCAGCGGAGAGGTATTAAGAAAATCACCTCAACAGCCCTGTGAAGTGACCTCAGTGAGATATTTGGTACCATGGTGTAAGCTGATAGCACAAGTTCTGGCGACAGGTAGCACATATCTGAGCGAGACCTGCAAGCACATACTGTCCCAGCTGGTACCCATAATGCTGCTGCTCCTGCTGCTGCTCCTGCTTTCGTCTCTTCTCGCTTTAAACGATTGTTAGCAAGTTAGATTTTCCTGGAGCTTTGGATGAAACATGATGAAGATATATTCACTGAATCAACAAGAAAAATAATGACAATATGAGTACCACCTAAAATACACTGAATAAAGTACTCTACACCATATAGCATTATTTTTATAGAAAATATTTCATGTCCCTTAAATATTCTTTGTTAGTTATAGGGATGGACAGTTTATGTTAAGCACTTAGCTTAAACAATCCGTTTATATTAGCACTGTATCCCTTGTGCCATCCAACATTTTGTATGTTTTTGTAAACAGTTCATATACAGTACATTTCTGTACTGCTTTCTTTAATGTATACATGCCTTGTTTAACTTGGAATCTATTATTAATCAACTATTAAATTTGGATAAATGGTTCACCTGGATTAACAGTATTGTTGGACAGCCCTAAAAATGGCCAGATTGTGGAACAGCTGTTGAATGTAACACTTTCAAAATGTACATATCTTTCCCCATGTCTGTTTCACTGGTTTGTTCTTTTGTTTGTTTCTTAAAGTCAGGTGCTCTGTCAGACTAACCTAGAGAGCTCTTTTGGTAGAGAAAGTTAAATGTGTGTGGCATGAAATCAAGAATACACCTATGAAGTTAGTCCATGTACTTTCCAACTCCTTAGGGTCCTTTTTTCCTCAATTAAGGAGGTAGTCCTTGCACTTTTAATCTTACACAGTATCCATACTTAGTATTTGGCATATCATTTGGGATTTTGCCATATACATCAAAGGCCTTTAAAATCATGGTAGAGAGATTAGTGAAGGAAAATTTAGCAACAAGCAATTTAAATCTTATTGACTATTTCCTTTTTAAATAGATATTCTATATTAAACACTAATTTGAATGTAATAAAGGCCATAGGCCTCTATATGAAATTGGATTTAAATTTATTCTAGGAAAATAAAACATTCTTGATCAAACAGTATCTGTTCTAACCTGAAATCATAGCTAAAGTAGGCTAAGTGAACATTCAGCATTGTTTTCTAAATCCTTCCTGATGATTTATAGCCTTTGTCTTCAGAAGTGATCAATTTTCATAATGACCCTTGGGTCTTCTTTGATTACAGTATTCAGTATCTACATCTGACTTGCTAGTTTCCACAATTTTATCTGGTGAAAGGAATTTCTATACCCATCATTACCTGTGTGTCAGGGTACCTAGCATATATTAATGTGTTAAAAACAGGAGCAAGGAAAAAGTGATTTAACTTACCTCATCAGGAATGTGCCCAAATAGGTCTTTCTAAGTCATATACTAAGCCATTTACATCAGAAATACTCTCCTACTAGAAGCTTTAACTCTTCCCCTAAAAACACCAAGCCAGGAAGACTGTGGTTTATCTGAATGTTTTGAAAACCATTTATCATTCCTTAATTTCTCCTCTATGCAATTAAAGAGAGGAAATCTATAACATTCCTTTTGCCCAAGTGACATAAAATGATTATTGCGTAGAAATCAAATATAAGTTTATATTCTAAATGGAAAAATGTATAAGAGGAGGAATATCAGAAGATCTAGCTAAAGCTTTTTGAAGTTTTTGAATATATGGATAATACTTAAGAAGCTACTTTCTCTTGCCTGGAAAGGAAATTGTTTGTTTTCTCCTCTATTCAGTGTTTCAAACCATGGTCATCCCAAATTCTTGTAATTTTTCAAATTTTAATGTAACTCTGAACAGAAAGTAGATATATTTTCAGATTTTTGACACTGAGACTGCTCTTAATCACTTAGGTGTACTGTTCATCATAGTCTTTTAGAACTAGAAGTGAGCATATAAATCCTCATAAATCACCTGGTCAAGTTTTCTCATATTGGATGTAAAGAACCTGAGACTCGGATCAAAGACTGGAATCCTCAGTTTGTCCCCATTTACAGTAGTTTCTTTTTCCTCATAACATCATGCTGTCTTTCCTTCATATTATCACCTGACCAGTAGCTAAGTTAAAAAACTATATGTTTCATAGGGCAGTCCTCTATTGGTGTATGATCCCGAGTTTATTTCTTGCAAGGATAATTGCCTTCTTTGTCTAGTCAAGCTTCCAGTTTTGTTGTAGAAAGCAAGGTATATGTTCACAAAATGGAAGGCTTTCTGCCTAAAAAGCAGTTAATGGGCATAAATTATTTCATCAGTGATTCTGATGTTCCCACTGCCCTTTGGCAGCAATGTGCTATAAATGTAGTACTTATGCTGGGTTAACCTTTCCACTAGTTTCTCAAAATCCTATTCCTCCAGGCCTCTATTGTTGGGGTATTGAGGCCCCTAATATATTCTGCCCTTCACCACTTGCTGCCAGTTTCTGGGGCTTCTCTCGGGAACTGTCAATCTTAAAGATATTTCACTCACTGTGAAAGAAGGAGCTAAACTATCAGGACTCTTACAAACTTTTTCTTAGTTTATAATGCAAAATAATATCAAGAATGATAGATTGCATTTAACATTGCCAAACACATGCGGGAAAGTATGAACTACTGTGTGTTTTGTATCTTCCCCTTTGAATGATAAGGTAAGTTTTTTGTCCTCTTTTTATTTTTGCTTTTTATGAATCATTTCATCCTTCTGATTCATAGAGATATCTAAGTATATCAGACATTTCTTTTTAACAGATTTGATGTGAATATATTTATTCACAAGCAATCCCAAAAATCTAAAAGTAGAATAATTTTGGTGAGGCCCAAAGTAGAGATACTGTGAAGCTAGGGTGCGGGAAGTGGCTTGTGAGTGTCTGGAGAAGTGGTTGTGGTGTGTATGCCATAGAGTTTCCACATTTCCCATGAAGTCCACTCCAAAGAGGGGTTTGGGGCCATCCATTTCTAATCTATTTTTAAAAAGTGGCTGCTACTGGGGTCAAGGGACATCAAAGGAAATGGGCCTATCCACTTAGGTGTGCCCTGTATCCTTATCCCAGAAAAGGTTTGAACAGAAGGTGGGTGAGTGCAAAGGCTTCAAGAGAAGACAGAATATGTTTAATAGGAAAGAGACTGGGGTAGGCCCAGCCTGGGATAAGAGTTGGCAGTAAAGCATTCAAGATTTGGGGGCCTTGGTATTATGTTTAATCACCATGGAGGCCAGCAATACACATTCCAACATGGCTTTGGTAATCTCTACTCCCTGGACTTTATAAATGACCTACAATTTTTAAACTTGCATTATGATATTTTTATAGAGTAAATTCTGTCATATCGTGGTATTGAGCATTTGAGACTTAGGAATTTAAGGCTAAGAAAAGGCCTATTTTCTGTGATTTGCAAATAGGTAGATTCCATGCCTGATCTTGGTGCTTAAACCAGGAGGTTCCAGTCTCATCCTAGAGATCTGTCCCTCTGAAAGGCCCAACTCCCTGTGACTAACTTTAAACTGGATGTATACTTTGAGCCTATTTAATTCACAGATATATTGACTTAACTCAGTATTTTTTTTCAACTAATGAAAATAGTCCTCTTTTCAACCCCAGGCTGCTTACATTTTGTAGGTCTCCCCAAGTGACTGTTGGTGGAGACCAATTAATGAAGGAATGAATTCACTTTCTTCAGACTGTGGTATTCTCCAGAGTCACACTAAACCACTTTTTCCAGTGAAGAATCTACAGAATGATAATACTCAAATATGGATGACCAAGAAGAATTTGTATCACAGTGTGCTCTATGTATTTTTGACACTGCTGTATTCTGTGTGATCAAGTAACTTGTAACTGGTTCCAATGTGACTAAGTGTTCTCAAATAATTCTAGTAACTAAGTCAACTTAATTTTCTTAAGCCTGGTATTACTATTGGTGTCAGAGTTACCACTTTGATTCCAGTCTTTTAACTGTTCATAACAGGGCATACCAAGTGTTGGAATGAGAGCCTACTTCCTACCTCTTAAGGCACTTTCATCATTATTTTGCCATGTAACTTTGAACTGCATGATAAGCTGTTTAAATGTCCATGACTTCTCCCAGAGCAACTAGCAAAGTATATGACATTTTGAATAGAGATTAATGGAAAGAAAAAATTAGAGATTTAGTTGAAAGGTGCAAACCTCATGAAAATGTCTTTAGAGCACATACCATTTGAGTACATAAGTGTAAACGTATATGAGAAGAGAGTCACTATAACTGTCCTAAGTAGATTAGTTCAATATCTAATGGAAGTGAGCATCCTACCCCTATTATCATTATAGTACTGAATGAACTGTATACTGAGTTTTTCAAACAAGTATTTAGAACTGTTAAATACAAAGCAAGGGCATAAGGATAAAGATTTTGGTTTGTGTTTCTGTAAGTGTACTTTACCATCTAAAGCTTTGTTTTTTAATTTTAAAAAAAGCTTCAAAGTATTGCCATTCATGAGCATCCTTAGTGATTGTGGGTGATGAGTTTGTAACACTTAAAATTATATACATGTATTAGTTTATCTTAACTCTTGCCCTAAACATAAGGGAAGATATATACTTAAGGGATGTAATTATTTTCCATTCTTGGCCATGAGTAGGAATGGGGTGGGTACCTACTTAAGCAGTTTTTAAAAAAGAAAAAAATTACAAATATTTTTCTACTATTATATATGATCTTACTTTATACTAGTTTCTCTCTAGAAAAGGCATGCCAGAAGCCCAAGGTACCATGTCACAAGTTCTTACATATTATACCTTTTATTGGTGGTTAAATAACATCAGATGCTTGGCACTGCTGCCATAATTATGAAATGCTTGTAAAGTATCAAATATCACTGAATACTTTAAATTGTTTTACTTAAGAGTCTAATCTGGGAAGTTTGCAAATCATACTATTAATGTGTAATCTAAGCTCTTTCTGATGTATCCAAGAATAATCCTGGAGTAATATTGCTTGTATTCCTGTCATAGAACAGGTTTTGTAATCTTTAAAAGAAATGAAAATTTATATAATAAAGTTTCAAATAAATGCATGTATGTCCCTTTTATGAGATTATTTTGATTATATTATGATTAAACTCTTAAAATTATTCTATCCAAAGTGTATTTGTGAAATTGTATTGCTAGAACTTAAAACAGGAATATTTCTGAGTTAAGTACAAAATAATTTTTGCTGTGCATCGTCTTGCTTTCCCCAAGATTTGTCAGATTCACGTAAGTCATACCTCTTACCCAATAACAAACTTGATTAGTGATTCAAATGATACAAGATAATCAACAGGCACAGGTAAAACATGCTTTTTTTTTTTTTTTGGTACCGGGGATCAAATTCGGGTCCTTGCACTTGTGAGGCAGGCGACGGAACCACTGAGCTAAATCTCCGACCCAAAAGATTCTTTTTTTTAAAGTTCAAAACTACTGGACTTGGCTCCCAAGATGCCCCTTTTCCTCCCTCATTATAGTGTATTTTGGATTCAGAATTAAAGGGAAAAAAAGGGAGGAAGTTTCCTTCTAAGCATTGTATGTGGACACCTTGTTAAAACAAGTCATTTGTTTTTGCAACATCCATTCATTATTCATTCATCCATTCATTATATACACAGTTTAAATGATGAGCCCCAGCCATACCTCATAAAACCAAAAATTCCAGGTTTTACAAAATATTATCTATAAAGACCAAGTATGTCTTGCTAAAAGGATTTTAGAAGGACTTTCTATTTTCTTTTTACTGGTGAATCTCATTAGCACATTTGAAAGGAAATTTGAGGGTATTGATTCCTGATAGAGAGTATGTTATATAGGCCAGAAATTAGCCCTTTCCTAGTTGACATTTTTAGTGCTTTTATATTAAGTATCACAGACTGGGTGGTTTAAACAATAGAAATTTATTTTCTCAAAGTTCGGGAAGCTGGAAGTCCATGATCAAGGCGCCTGCAGGGTTGGGCTCTTCTGAGGCACCTCTTCAGCTTGCTCATGGACACCCTCTTGCTTGCTTCCCCTTCATATGGTTGATCCAGCATACAAGCTGCTGGTGCTCCTCTTTTTTTTCTCTTCCTTTTTATTTTTCAGTGCTGAGCACTGAACCCAGGACCTCCTGCTACACCGCAGCCCATTCCTCTTTTTTTTTTTTTTTTGTATCGATCAAACTCAGGACTTTGCACTTGCAAGGCAGGTGGCGGCAATACGGAGCTAAATCCCCAGCCCCCATTCCTCATTTTTAAGGACACCAGTCATATTGCATTAGGGCCCTAACCTATTAATCTCGAGGAACTAGGAATTGGTACATCAACATACAAAGACACAATTCAGCCCCTAACAACTGGTTTAAGGAGGGCTTGCACTTGGATTAATTTGGGTATTCAGGTTACAATAGGAAGTGTCACTATCTATTTGGCATCTTACTGGGTCAATGTAAGGATGCTTAACTATTTTCTGTCACTTTTGTAACAGATCACCACAATTAAAATTTATTATGATTCTGGAGGTCAGAGGTCCAATACAGGTCTCACTGGGCTAAAATCAAGGTTTTAGCAGGGCATTTATTTCTGGACGTTCTAGAGAAAACGTGTTTCTTTGACTTTTCCAGTTCCTAAAAGCTGCCTGCATTCTTTGAGTGTGGCCCCTTTCCTCCATGTTCAAAGTAACAGTAAGGTTGGGGATGTAGGTCAGTGGTAGAGTGCTTGCCTAGCACGTAGAAGGCACAAAGTTTGATCCTCAGCATGGGAGGAAATAAAAACAGCAGTGATACTGGCGTAGTCCTCTTCACATGCATCTCTCTGACCTCTCTCTCTTGTGCCTCTTCCATTTTTAAGAACTCATGTAATTAGATTTGGTGTCCTTGAGTAATCTAGGAAACTCACCACATCTCAAGGTTAACTGATAAGCAACTTTCATTGCATTTAGAACCTTAATTTTCTTTCACCATGTGAGATAACATTCATAGTCTACAGGAATTTGGATTTCAATATGGTCATCTTTGGTGTTCATTAATCTACCTGCCATGGGGCTGGGGACTTAGCTCAGTGGTGCCACTGCCTGCCTCGCAAGTGTAAGGCTTCTTAGACTAACATGGAGTGGTGGTATTTGCCATGGTCATGCTTCTGTAGCTTTTGTTAATGTGTTAATGTACCCTCAGTTGATAGAGAAAGAAATTTAATACATGTATGAATTTATCAGATGAGAAAATTGAGGCTCATAAAGAGATTACATAAATTGTCCAAAATTATAGAGTAAAAAGTGTCTACAGAGCCTGGATTAGAACCCAGGTCCCTGTAACTCAAATGCCCAATTTCATAAGCACTTGGCCTTGAAGCAAAATTTAAATACATTTCATAAAGTCATCCTTTCTTCCTTAATTGTGTAAATTGCAAAATATTGCAAGCAGAAAGAAAAACAACTTTTGAGTGCTCTATCATCTCTCAGTTTACCTCTGAAAAGTACATCTGTCATTGAGTTTCTGAGCCTCAGCTCTACTGACATTTTGTGCTGGGGCTAAGGTTGCATTGTGCACTGCAGGCTAATTAACAGCATCCCTGGCCTCTGCCCACTAGATACAAATATCACTGCCTCTCTCCCCAGCTTTGACAACCAGAAATGTCCTACAGTGATGAAGAATGAAACTGCAGCATGGAGGAGGAAGGGTACAACAAATTTATTTAAAAGATATAAAGGTAAATTGAAAGATATAAAGGCATGAAAATAAAAGATACAAAAGCAAGGAAGTAAAGCTCTCACTAGCTGGGAGGGAGTTCTGACTGGGATACTCACAAGGGCTCTTTCTATAGAGGTTTTTAAGGGGTTTAGAAGGGAGTTTGGGCTGTTGTGTAAGCAATGTAATCTTTACCCTATAGGAGACTACATATTTCTTAGGGTCCAATCTATGCAGTATCCACACAGGACCCATGCACCCTTGGGCCAACAGCCCGCCTGATCATGCTCTGGGGAGGTCCCAGGCAGCTGAAGGACACCTGGAAGATGTTTTTGTTAAGATCCCTGGAGGGTCAGAACTAAGCAGACTCCATTTTGAGGCTGCTGTCCTTACTACCTAATAGAATCCTAACCACTGTCTCACTAATTCCTGTTACAGTCGGATGTTTAACAGCATCCCTGGCCTCTGCCCACCAGATACAACCATCACTGCCTCTCTCCCTCGGTTGTGACAATCAGAAATATCTGCAAACACTGCCAAATCTCCCCAGTGGAGAACCACTGTGTTAGATGTCACATCTCGGGGACAACCACCGCTGCTCTGTTGTCTGAGCAGCCCACTGGGATTGTAAACTCAGCCCCAGTAAAAAATTAGAGGGACAAAATTTAACAAAAGGAAGACATTTTATTTGTAAAAAGAAAAAGGATGGGGAGGAAAGAAGAAGATAGATAGCTACCCTGGTAAGGAAGAATTGGGGTCAGGGGCTCCAGAAAGATGGAGGACCCATGGGCCCTTTGTTCTCGGCTGCTTTTAAAGGGGAGGTCAGAGACCCTTCCCTGGCACCCAAAACTTGCCATAACTGGATTGGCTTCCAGGCATCTCTGCCTACTATCATTTCTTCTGGTGATCTAATATAGCTTCTTTCTGTCTATTTGTCCTTGACCAACCTTTCAGGGCTTTATCTTTGGGGTGAGCGGCTAGTTGGCAAGGGGGGTACCTTATTCGTGGTTAGCTTAGAGTTAGTAAGGGGGTGTGTGGATATCTACTGTACTCTATAATGACCCTAGAGTGAAAAATATAGTGACTCTCAAGTGAATACACACACACATATATATGTTAGTGCATAGGTGTGAGTACATACTGCCTCAAAGTTAGCCCCCATCCCTCTTGCTTCTTCTATATTCTATTGGAGGTGGGGGTGGGTGGCTTATCGTTTGTGCACCTGGCCTATGTCTCAGCTCTCTCTCTCTCTGGTCTCTTGGCACAAGTCCCAAGGCTATTTGGTGCCTTTCTTTATCTGGTTTTTCTATCTTTCTCTACCAACATCCTTGACCTACTTTCCAGGGGAATTTGTCTAGTAAAGTTTATTTTTAACTCCTTCCAGTCAGGATTAGCTAGAAGACCTAAGAAGGCCCCTATTCTATTTTTTTGTCTGCAGCCCCTGCCCTTACAACTATACTTTATTTCTCTGTCATTTATGTCCACTTCCCTAGAGAGATGATGTTAAAACCCTAACATTTCCAGAAAGATTATTTATTTAACATATATTTACTTTGAAGTGAAATTATTCACCCAGCATATCCAGCTGTATTAGTTTGCTTAGCACTGCTATAACCAAGTACAGTACCACAGACCAGGTGGCCTACTAACAGAAATTTACTTTCTCACAGTTCTGAAGACCAGAGCTCTAAAATCAAGCAGCAAGCAGAGTTGGTTTCTGAGGCCGATCTCCATGGCTTGTAGACAACTACCTTCTTATTCACGTAATGTTCTCCCTTTATGACTGTGTGTGTGTGTGTATATATATATATATATTTTTTTTTTTTTTTTTTGAGACAGGGTCTCCCTATGTAGTTCAGGTTGGCCTTACTATGTAACCCAGACTGACCTCGAACTCTTGGCATTCTTCTGCTTCAGCCTCCCAAATGCTGAGATTACAGGCGTGTACCACCACGCCAAGCCTAATATCTTTTTCTTATAAGGATACCAATCATACGGGATTAGGGCCCAGCCTATTGACCTTATTTCAATGTAATCATCCCTGTAAAGACCATATCTTCAAATACAGTCACGCTGAGGTACTGAGGGTTAGAACTTCAATATATTCATTTTGGAAGGGCACATTTCAGCCCCTAACAATGAATTTAAGTCTTCTTTCTTTTCTTTTTGCCTGTGGGTACTGAGCACCTACTATGTGCCAGACATTCTGTTAAATGCTGGTAATAAGATGTGGTCTCTGCCTGGTAAGGTTTGCGGTAAGGTAGATAAGGCAAGATAGATATTTTAGAAATAGTGCCAAGTGTCATGGAAATGCTTTGGTAATGGATGATGTAAAGCTTTCCCCTTCCCTTCAGGTTCCCAGACTGGCTTGTCGGGTCAAAGAGCCACGTTAAAACTGAGATAACTACGAGGTTAATGAGTCAGCAACTTGTCAAACCTCGAAAAGCGGGTTTGTTACAAAGCAAGAGAGGGCAAGGCCGGCCAACCGCGGCGCTACTTCAGCCCACCCCTTGTTATGACGTCAGTCCCTCCTGCGATTCTCCCAGAAAGCGTCTCCCTGTGCTCTAACAATAAGGGTCAGTCGGCCACGCCTGCGCCGTGGAGCCAGGGCAGGGCGGGTAGGGTGGGGGAGGCGGGAAGAGGTCGGGCCTCACCGATGGCGGGAGGCGGGGAAGAGTAACGCAAGCAGCCGCGACGCCATTTGCTGCTGCTGAGCGTGGGTGCAGGCGGTTCTCAGTAGAGCCGGGTCGCGAGACTGTGCCGCGCACGCTACTCGGCCTCCAGCGCAAGCTTAGTCCCACGCGCTTCTTCTTAGCCCCCGTCGCGCCCCTCGTAGGAGTCGCGGACGCCGGAGCCACCCGGGAAGAAGTCAGAGAAGCCGCGCGGCCGTCGTAACCGCCATGCCCAAGAATAAAGGTAATGCCGCCTGGACCCGGGAGCTCGGCTCGGCTCGTTTTCCCCGGTTCTGCCCGCGGCCTCGGATAAACCCAGGCCTCAGTGACCTTCCTCCCTTCCCGCCCTGCCTGCCTGTGGCTGAGCCGGCCGCGTGCGACTGAGCTCGAGGGAGGAGCGGGGAAGTTACTCGCGTTGCCCAGTTTGATCACACTGGGGTGGAGCCGACGCCATTTTTGTGGGGCCTCCCGTGGGAGAATGTGGGCTTTTGCCCCTGATTCGCGCCAGGCTGACGGCGCGCCGATAGGAACCTGTAGGGACACCGCCGCCGGACCTTCTGGGCATCACAGATGGTTTCCTTTGGTTTTACCGGACTTGAGGACTTAACCCCCGGGAGTAGTTCTGAACTTTAAAAGGGTCATGTCTTCTTTCGTGCCCATTTGGTAGTCCTACACGGGCAGTGTTCAATGTTCAGTATAGTTGAGGCTGTTCCTTGGTCCCTTATAAACAGTGGGCGGTACCTTGAGGCATTTTTTTTCCTTGATGCATTTTTAAGATTTATTTCTAGGAATTTTGTTTGCTCCACCTTTTACAGGGTTTATTTTTTTTCCAGACTTGATTTATATTAAGGTAAGTTTTCTTTTTTTTTTTTTTTTTTTTTTTTTTTTTTTTTTTTTTTTTTTTTGGTACCGGGGATCGAACTCGGGTCCTTGCGCTTGCGAGGCAGGCGGTGGAACCACTGAGCTAAATCCCCGGCCCTAAGGTAAGTTTTCTACTTTTGCTTCAGATCACGGATACATGATGGGAATTAAAAACTTTGCTAAACGTTCACAAATTATCAGACTTGAAGATAAGTTTATTGAGGATTTTCAAAATAGAAGACCTCGTCTAAGGAAATTCACCTTTTTATAGACTTACAGTGTTTCTGATACTTTTATTTGCTTTTTTTTTTTTTTTTTTTTTTTTGGTACCGGGGATCGAACTCTGGTCCTTGCGCTTCTGTGGCAGGCAGCGAAACCACTGAACTAAATCCCCGGCCCCACTGATACTTCTAATAACCTTAGAATTTATTGAAGAAAATTGCGCGAAATAGGGAAAACTTTGTATTTCCTACGGGAGAGGAGGAGCATATTAGAAGTTTCCTTTGATTGTTCATCTTTAGGACCTTTTTCCCTGACTCAGGCCTACTTGTGGAATTCTACTTAACATTTGATTGGCGCCAGGGATTCTTCCTCATTTATTCTTTGCAGATGGCACTACTAACATCCTTCAGGATACTTCATCACAGTTATGTCCGAGATTTCGGTGCAGTCCTCTCAGGGCACTCCACCTTGCTGCCCTCAGAAATCGAACTTGGGTCTTTTTTGTAGCAAGAATTTTTTTACTACTAATTATTATAGGAAAGATGGTCTGATACCATAGTATTTTAAAAGTCATACAAATTTTTTTAATCTTTAAAATCCTTTATTTTGAGATGGTAACTGGATTACATCAATAGGTATTTTATTCTTATCTTTATTTCTACTGATGAAATTTCCAATTCCCTCACTAGGCTGTAAACTCTGAAGGACACGGATAGCATCCATCTTAATGACATTGGATTGCTAGCATTTGGAACTTAGGAGATGCTTAATAAATATTTGTTGAACTAAATCATCTCCCTTCTGTTCTTGACTCCACCCTTAGGTGAATAATAGGCTCCCCTTTGGTTTCGAGGGGACATGACTTCTGCACTACATTACATCTAGTTCATTAGCCTCATGACTTGCTTAAGGAAGATCTCACCTGGGATTTTTTCCAAAATACCTCTGTTTGATTTAAAAGAGGGATCTGAGAATTTTGATTTAGTTTAGAGACTGTTCTCACTTACTTACTTACTTACTTACTTAGAGGAGGGGTACTTTTCAAGGCTTTTGAATTTTATGAAGTTTAGTAATACAGAAATATACTTATTTTCCTGTCTTCATTGGAAAATCCAGAAGCCCCGTACATGTAATCTTGTGGTGGTTAACTCAAGTATGGGCAAAAACTACCATGGACTATGTGTTGCATGACTTCTGAACTGATTCTTACCAGTTTATTTTCTCTAGAAATTCTTAGAATGCCGTCCTCGAATGAAGAAAAAGGGCATGCTTTGGCCTGTTCACAAAGAGCTTTGGGGATGAGGCACTTCTACTCTTTGAATCGCTACTCTTCCAGGATGTGTGGACTACCCTTGATTGGTTCATTTCAGACTTGCCAAACTCTGGCGTATAACTCTTTGAACAGATCAGATATGATCCTGACCCTAGTGGAGCTTGCGCTTTAGTTTGAAGATCTGGCATGCATAATGGCTTGAAGTACTTTAAGAAATCAGTTTTGGTATGCCCTAAGAATGCCTTAAATACGAATTCTAAGGATTGGGATGGATCAGGAAGTTGTAGAAGCCCACCTAACAATAGCACACAGTAATATGAGACTGCCCCAGGAGGGAGTTAAGTGTACTCATTCAAGAATTTAGGTATCTAGAGCTGGGGAGTGCTTTCCTAGCATTTTCCAAACCCTGGGTTCAATCCCTGGCACTGAAAAAGAAAAAAGAATTTAGATGTCTGTCTTTGCAGTGGCCAGGTGAATGTTCTGAGTTGACTTTTTGCTGCTTCCAAGCTCTTCCCCTAAGTCCTTTTGTGTCACTACCACTTAGAGCCTTTTTCTCCACCTTTTGGAACTGACTGCCAGTGTGGTTTAGGTTGTGGAATGGGAATGTAATGCTGTGGAGAAGTGCCTTAATATGAGCACTGAGAGCAAAATGGATTAGATCTGAATCTGATGACCCCTGTTCACTGACTAATACTAAATGAATTCTTTGAGCTTAGGTGAATTTATTGGCAAACTGTGAGTAAATGTCTGTTAATACCTCATAAGATGATTGTGACAACTAAATGGGTGAAATTATTACCCAGTGGTTATCAGCATGGTCACTGGGGTCATATAACAAAGATATTAAGGACCACTTTTATGAAAAGAAGGTAGATTGAGGGGTGTTTTGTTTTGTTTTTTGAGACAGGGTCTCACTATGTAGTTCAGGCTGGCCTTGAACTCACTATGCAGCCCATGCTGGCCCTGGAACTCGCAGTGATCCTCTTGTCTCAGCCTCCCAAATGCTAGAATTACAGGCACTCAACACCATATGCGGTGTAAATTGAGTTTTTTTGTTTTGTTTTGTTTTTGTTGTACCGGGGGATGGAACTCCGGACCTTGCACTTGTGAGGCAGGCATGGCACCACTGAGCTAAATTCTCAGCCTGTAAATTGAGTTTTGAATGGAAATTTCAACATGTATGGTGCTGTCTTATACCAAGTTTGAAAAATCACAGTTCTCTGTCCATTCTCCTTACTTCAGATTCTTTGCACAGGGCCTGGCTTCAGAAAGCATCCAAGATTTCAGCTTAGGATATTTACACGAGGGCCGGGGATTTAGCTCAGTGGTTTCACCGCCTGCTGCGCAAGCGCAAGGACCCAAGTTCAATCTCCGGTACCAAAAGAACAAAAATATTTACACGATGTGATCAAAATATACAATGAATGTTTAATTTTTAAGAAATAATTGCTACAGTAAAAGACGTATTGTCATGAATCCCCCTCAGAATACACCCCCTCACTTATACATGCTTATCACATGTCCTTGCCACCTTTTGAAGCCATTCTGGAAGTCTTCTTTCATGAGGGTCTTTACATAGTGGCAAGAACAATGAAGTAAGTGTGTTTGAAGGGGGAAGATGGGTCAGGAGTATTCTGGGGGAGGGGTGGTTAATGGCAATGTGTCTTTTACTACAAATAAATTTTTAAAAATTTAAACTTTTATTGTATTTTTTAATCATACCATGTATGTAATTACAGTTTTATTTAGAAAGATTATGTGCTAAGGTAGAATGCTTTTCTATATACTGTACTTTTATATAATATATGCTGTTTGTTTGTATTTTATGTCAGAAAAATTCCAAAAGGAAATTCCATGTGCAGTAGGGATGGTGATATGTTAATTTTTAATATGATGGGAAATTGTAAATTTTAGAGACTTGACTAACCAAATTAAATGAATTTTTAAATAGAGGTAATTTTAAAAGATAGTTTTATAAACCTTAATGTAGTTTCTCTTCATACTAATTTGCAAATATCTGATGTCTTTTTTTTCTTTTAAAAAACCATTAGGTAAAGGAGGTAAAAATAGACGCAGAGGTAAGAATGAGAATGAATCTGAAAAAAGAGAACTGGTGTTCAAAGAGGATGGGCAAGGTAAGAGTTTTCATAAGTTAGGCTTTTTTTAGTAACGTCTTTAAATATGGAATTCAGTCTCTAAATTTAAAAGGAATCTTTATAATCCTAACCAGTAATCTCATGTCCCATTTGCCTTTCTCCATTTCTCATTCCTTATACTTCTCTAGAGCCTTTCTTTCAGTAAGCATTTCCTGGTCCTACTAAGTCTGCATCGAGAATCAGAGTTTCTGTAAACATACAGGTTTCCTTGTTTTGTGTGAACATTTGTATTATAGCTAAGAAAGAATTGTACAGTTCAGAAGAAATTAAGCTTTGAAAGCTGTGGTTGAGAATTGCATGATTTAGTGAACCTTTTTGACAGTAAACAGCATGCTATACAGTGTGTTCAGTAGACTGGATATTTGAAGGATGAATCCAAGGCCTCTCCATTCTCCTTTGCCATTAGGGTATGATTTCATAAAATACAATAAAGTAAAACTGAACGTTTGATCTTTTTATTTTTTAATTTTTTTTTTTTGGTACCAGGAATTGAACTCAGGTCCTTGCACTTGCGCAGCAGGCGGTGAAACCACAGAGCTAAATCCCTGGCCCAAAACTGAATGTTTGATCTTTTTAGACCTGTTAAGACCAAGATCTATAGCACTAATAAATTCTGACTGGATCGCTTGGTTTTTTTTTTCTGTAATTGAGTGATTTTAAGCCTACAGAAAAGTTGCATATTACTACAGTGAGCTTCTGTGAAGCTTTCATTCACATACGTGTCAAAGAGCAAACATATTCTCACATATCATGCTTAGGTAATTAATGTTAATATATTATCTAGTAGGATGTCTGTACTTTAGTTTTCCCAGTAATCTCCAGCACTTTAAAAAAGACACACACACACACAATTGGGGATTGAGCTCTGAGCTACATCCCCAATGGTTGTTTGGTTTTTTAAGACAAGTTCTCACCAAGTTCTCTAGGCTGGCCTGGAACTTGTGATCCTTCTGCCTTAGCCTCTTGAGTAACTGGGATTACAGGCATACACGACTGTGTTTAGCTTTGTCTTTGTCTTTTTATAGGACTTTTGGTGGATATATAAGCTGCTAAAAATGAAATAATATTGTATGGCCAAAAGACTTTTTTTTTCTTTCTTCATATTTTTTCTCTACTTTGGAAAGAGAGGCTGTCTGAGTGGACCAAGCATTTTGAGGTGCGAGGCTCACTAGTCTGAATAACTCCCTTCTACTTGTTAATCCCACAGGTGAGCTTGTTTACAAGTTAGTGGATAGCCTCTTTTCACCGGTCTTAGAAAACACGTAAAGGGTCTGAAGTGATGTGCCTGATATGCCCCCTGAGCCACCACCACTACCACCACCCTCAGATCTCATAGTCACCTTCCCAGTATTTTTCATTGACAGTGAAATTGAAATACTTGGATTAAAAATTTAGCATTTTATTTGGAACATTTTTCTGGCTTTACAAGAACTCAAATACTAATCACCAAGATAGTTAATTTAATAAAGACATTGTTAGCATTAAACTACTGGTACTAAATATCCCATGAGATTTGCCTCTAAAGATTCTGGGGGGAAACAAAATTGAGCAAGGATCAGAATGGGCGAGATTGATGAGGTATAATGTATATTTTGGGACAAGCCACCTTTGATCTCCAAGGGTAGAGCATACAATCATGAAGACAGTAGTCATTCTACTTACTCAAAATGAGTAGATAATTATAACATGTCTAATAGCAGAGGCAGGCTGTAATACAAACAGGATTACAGAGTCTTGGTTCTGTTTCTGCCATTAAGTAGCTTGGTGTTTAATTCTCTTGGACTTGTTTATATTTTGCATGTATTTATTCCCGACCAATACAACCATGTGGTCTTACTTATCAATTTTATGGGGCTTTTTAAGTTACTTTTATCAAAAATTGAGCAATAACCTATACTCTTTTTCTCCCTCACCCCCAGAATATGCCCAGGTAATCAAGATGTTGGGAAATGGACGATTAGAAGCGATGTGCTTTGATGGTGTGAAGAGATTATGTCACATCAGAGGGAAATTGAGAAAAAAGGTAAATGGGGAGATTGGTTTTACTCTAATAAAAAATTGGTTGCAGGGGTGGGGAATGCAATCCTGTGTATGTGTGTGTGTGTGTGTTTGCACTTGTGCATGCTGGGGATTCAGCCCAGGGCCTCTTCAATGTTTAGTACAAGCCCTACCACTGAGCTACATCCCCAGTCCTCCATCTTTACATTTTTTATGGGCCTAACGGTTTACCTTGAAGTCAAATGGTCATTTTATACAGATACCATTGTTTAAGGAATCATTTACATCACGTATGTTGTATTCCTGCCCAGAATACTTAACCAAAATTTGAATCATCAGGAAGTAACCAGCAAGTCCAAATTTAGGAGCATTCTGTAAAACAAATAGCTTTCATTTTAACAAAATGCTAATATCATGAAAGGGGAAAAATCGGGGGAACTACTCCAGTTTTAAGGATAGTTAAGAGACCTGATAGGTGGCCCTTGTTTGGATTCTGGGTTGGAGGTTAGGAGGATAGCTCTAAAAGGGTATTAGGAAATTTTGAATATGGATCATGTTGTTTAAAAGTCCCAACTCTGTGACTGGAGGTGTAGCTTAGTGGTAGAGGCTACTTTGCAGGTCCCTGTGTTCAATCACCAGCACTAAAAAAGTTTCAACTCTGATTTTGAAGTTTTTTATTTTTTGGTAATATCAATTCTGTTTCTAAGCTAAAACAGTTTTGGTGCCTATATATATGTAAATAGGTGGAAGAGAGGGATGATACAACCATGCAATTTTCTATTATATGATAACCACTTGGATTGGTGTTGGTTCATGATCTTTTAAAAAAATCTTTTAATATCTACACTGTTACCTAGAACTGGATTGTTCATTTTTATTTTATTTTTTTCTAGTACAAGGGATCGAACTCAGGACCTTGTGCTTGCCTCGTAGGCGTGGTACCACTGACTTAAATCCCTGGCTTCATTTTTATTTTAAATATAACATGCCAATTTCTTTTGTAGGTTTGGATAAATACCTCAGACATCATATTGGTTGGTCTCCGAGACTACCAGGTAGAAATTACATTAAAATTGTTTATTGATTACTTGCTTGAATTTGATGAGCATTTCTTTATTACTATTAGTGCATGTTATTTATCCAGATGAGTGGGTTACATTGTGGCATATTCATACATGCATGTAGCATATTTTGATTATTTATCCCTGTAACATCCCTTCCTCTTTCCTTCTCCCTCCCCCCCTCTTTTCGACCCTTCCCCTTCTCTAATGTAGTTGTGTTTTAGACATTGTGCTAGGTGTTCCTGGGATTATAGTTTGAAAATGCCAGTATATGGAATCAATGCAAGGTTTTTATTAAGATAATTGGTCTACCTTTTTTTATAACATTTACAAGTGTGGTTTCACCCACCAGCAGTTGAACTCAGGACTTTGAGCTTGTGAGGCAGGCACAGTGCCACTGGCCACTGAGCTAATAAATCCCTGGCCCAAGTTGCCCCTTTTTTTGGAGTGAGTGATATTACATAGTGGTGATTTTATTTAATTTTAGTTAGTAAAAGAAAACAAAAAAATCTTACAATGGACCCCTTCCCCCATTTTTAAAAATTTATTGGTTTATAAATAAAAATTTGGGAACCATTATTGTAGGGAATACAGTTGGCATGAATCAGCTCCCATCTCACAGAAGGCATATAGCATGGTATTAGAAAAAGACAAGCATACGAGTAACTACAGTATGTACACACTATGACATTGCTATGTACTATAAATGTCGATGGGCACATGGGAAAGAAAATTATAACTGCCCTTAATAATTTCTAACTGCAGGGCCAGAGATTTAGCTCAGTGGTTCCAGCGCCTGCCTCGAAAGCGCAAGGACCCAAGTTTGATCCCCGGTACCAAAAAAAAAAATTTCTAACCGCAACCATAGCTTTATATATGTCCATTGTGGATCTGTGAGATCTATTGATGTCCACCTGTTGGAACTCATCCCCATTTGATTATATGAGGGGGGAGGTCGTGGTACTGGGGGTGGAACTTAGGACCTCGAGCTTGCAAGACAGGCGGGTGGCTCCACTGAGCTAAATTCCTGACCCTTTATATCTGTATTTTTATTGCCTTGATTGCACTCTGATTTTTTTAAACTTATATTCCAGAATAAAAGTTTTCATCTGGGAGGCATCGGCCTGTAATCCTAGCACTCTGGGAAGCTGAGGCAGGAGGATTACAAGTTTGATCCCAGTCTGGGCAATTTAGTGAGACTCTGTCTCAGCTTGGAATGTAGCTCAGTTCAAAGTCCAGTACCAAAAAAAGAGAAGAAAATAAAGACATCTACACTTTAAATCATTGGGTTCTCAATTGTGGGCATTTGTGCCTTCCTGGGCGCATTGGCAATGTCTGGAGACTTCCAGTTGTCATAACGGGGAGGGAGCAGTATTGCTGGCATTTAGTAGATAGAGGCCACAGGTGATACTGAACATCCTACAACCCTAAATTTTGGCTTAAAATAATTATTAGTGCCTTTGGTGAGAAAGCCTGCTTTAAATATATAAACCATTTTAATGCCTGTTTTTCCCTTTTGATCGTAACAGTAATAACCCCAGAAGTAGGAAGAATAATTAATTCCTTATTAGAGGGAGCCAAAGTACTGAAAGGGGTAAAATTCTGTGTAATCCCACATGATCTCTCTTCTGTGCCCCTGCTACTTAAAGGGTGGTCCAGAGATTAGTAACATTACTGTCTTTGGGAACTTCATAGAAATGAAGATTCTTGGACCCTACCCCAGACTTCCTGAATCAAATTAAGCATCTTGACAAGATCTCCATGGGCTCATACACACTTGGCGTTTTATAAAGTTCTGGTCTGAATGACACTGTCCTTCTGTCAGTTTTCACCCTTAACTGAGACACTTTTCAAATGGAGAAGTGTATATTTTAAGGCAGTATTTCTCAGTGAGACATTTGCATCAAATACCTAAAGAACTTTTAAAACTAGATTGGTGGGCTTCGTATCCACTAACCTTCATGAAATGTGAAAATTCCGGGAGATCCTGATTGATACACACCCTAAGAAGTACAGTTGAATGAAAAGGCATGTAGATTTCCTTAGGTCATACCAGAGACCCAGTTTTGTTTTGTTTTGTTCCCAGTTTTTTTTAGCTGCATTGTGTGATCAACCTGCAAATTATGGTGCCAGGGAACTTTTTTATACCAGGGATAATAATAAATACCCTAAAAGATTTGAGTTTGCATAGTTGAAATCTGTAAATGTCTTTAGTTAGTTATTATTATATTATGCATGTAATCCTCTTCTGGCTTAAACCTAAGAATCTTTTTTTTGGGGGGGGGGCATGGATCAAACTCTACAGACCTGCGCTTGGGAGGCAGGCAGTAGCACCACTGAGTTAAATCCCTGGCCCCCCCAAGGATCTTTTTCAGGGATAGAAAAGTAAAGGTTTTTTTGTTGTTTATTTGGTTTGTTAGGACAGGGTCTCCCTCTAGTTCAGGCTGGTCTTTGATCTCACTGGCGTGGAACTCCCACCACATCCAGCCTAAAACTGTATAATTTAAAGAAAGGGAAAAAGATTTATAACAAATCGTTTTTTTTAATTCAACTTGAAAGTAATTTATGAAATAACTGGTAATATTTTGGTAAAATCAGTTCTTAAACTTACTTGTTTTTATTTAAGGATAACAAAGCTGATGTGATTCTAAAATACAATGCAGATGAAGCAAGAAGTCTAAAAGCATATGGCGAGCTTCCTGAGCATGGTAATGACTGAGTTAAATTTGTCATATAGTGGTTAGGTAAAGGAATTTTTGGAGATTTGTTTCTTATACTAGATACTATAAGAAAGAAGTTACTACAATTCTTTTTCTAACATACACTTTAATTGAGGAGTTATGGTTTGTAAGTCCTGGATTTCTGCAAAATGCCAAAGGAATTATTTTATTGCAGTAATTATTTTAAAATACTTCATGAAGGGCTGGAGGTGTGGCTTAGTGGTGGACTGCTTGCCTGGCTTGCATAAGACCCTGGATTCTACCCCTAGCACTGCAAAAATATTTTTTAACAAATAATTCCTGCTGAATGTGGAACACACCTGTAATTCCGCACTCAAGAGGCTGAGATGGGAGGATTGCAAGTTTGGGGCCAACCTGGACTACAGTGGAACTTTTCCAAAACAAAAATAAGAATAAGAATTTATATTAAAATGTCAAATTTCAATCCATTTTATCCTTGTATATAGTGACCTACAGTTTTTTTAAACTAATATTTTTTGTTTTCCCTCTTCCAAATACAAAAGTAATGCATAAAATCTCTCATAATCTCATCAGGGAAAATATACTTTATATACTATTTTATAAGCCTATATTTTCTACTTGCCAGTTATTTTTCTTTATTATAGGGTTCTCTTAGCATTTATGATCTAAGAAATATTTGTATCTAGAAAGGACTAACATGTCCTAGTTCCTTTTTTTTTTTTTTGCGTCTTTCTGATGATTGGTGAAGTAGCTATTTTCTCAAGGTAATAAAGGGAGTAGCATGTGCTCAGAACTTTTTGAAGCATACTTGGAAGATGTTATAACTTCAAAATTAATGTAACTAGAACCAGCCTTGCTAAAAATTCCTCTGAACAACCAAAAAAAAATTTAAACGCATGCTCTTTATCTTGACAGAGCAGTGACCTTTGAGGAAATGCTGTATAATATTTTGCTCTGGGAAGTAGGGTTGGTAGGTAAGAAATTTGGAAGGCGTTCCTTAAAATGAGAACTTTGATTAAATTACAAAGTTGGCTTGTGTGAATGTCCTTTCATATGTCAACACTTGGTATCAAACCCACTTTTAGTGGACAGTTACTCATTTTAGTAACATCTGGATTATATATTTGTTGTGGTGTCTTTAGCTAAGATCAATGAAACTGATACATTTGGTCCTGGAGATGATGATGAAATTCAGTTTGATGACATCGGGGATGATGATGAAGACATTGATGATGTAAGTAGATACATCCTGATTTTCTGATTTCTGTTTATGAGTTACTCATAGAGAAACCAGCTCTTTCTCTGAAGTTCTTTTAATTCTGGTAATGTGGAACACTTAAGAGTATATTTTGAGACTTGTCCATTATTTAAAATCACCAGTATTATTTAGAAAACAGCCAATCTGTTTATACTTTAAGAATTCTTACATTCCTCTTAAGTATTTCTTCAGAACAGATCAATGTTTGCCTTGGTAATATGAGTGCCAGGTACTCTAATCATAACTTGTTTAAGAGTGTTTAGGGTTGAGAATGTAGCTCAGTGGTAGACTGTGCCTGGGTTTGATTCCTAGTACTGCAAAGAAAAAGAAATGGCATAGACAACTGAGAAATGTAACATCAAAGGAACATGCCTTCTCAAGTGAGGAATTAGTATGTTAAAGAACAATCTTGTTCGAACCAGCTTAATGTGAAGCACTGAAATTAGAATATTCATTGAACACCTTGTTAAAATAATTTATCTGTTGCGTATACACTATTGGCAAACGCTTGGTTTTGGTATGTTTATTTTGAGGAAAATGTATTGTTTTTCCTAATAAAGCAGTAGTGCCCACAACAATGCTCTTCTGCTGTTACTATATTTAAATAAAATTTAAATTTGATTTTTTAGCAATATAAATTTAATAACTGATGTACCATAAGTTACTCTTAACACATTCACAATAGGGCTGTAATTTGTATGTCTTGCTGTTGGGCAGCTTGCATCACCTGTAGTAAATTCATGACTTTCCTATCAGATGGCATTTTATTAATTTTATTAATAAATAAAATACTGATAAAAGTGATTAGATCCATTTGTACCACCGGTGGTACAGGCCACCCGATGGGATAGTTAATGTACGTACCACTGGTGGTTCAACCAGTGGGAACTTGTTAAATCTGATTTCAAACCCCTTCAAATAAAATGTAGTTCAGAAAGTACCTATGTGTAAAAACCCCCAAATAGTAATTTGGTTTTATTCAAAGATGTAATTTCAAAATATCTTGAGCAGTTGTTCCTGATCAAGAGTGTGCATAGTATTACCAGAGCTTTTCAGATATACCAAGGCAAGCCTCTCTTAGGTCTGATTTAGGCAAAACCCCACGTGGTTCTATAAAATCACCTCAGGGTATGAATTCTAGGATACGCATACACACACAGATCCACAAATCCTCGAGTCCCTTATATAAATGATGTATTTAAAGCTGTCCGTGGTGATACATGCCTGTAATCCTAGCACTCTGGGAACATGAAGCAAGAGGATCACTAGGGAATACTGCCTTGAAATTTAAAAAAGGCTAAGGATTGTACAATAATACGTTGATTCACGAATGCTTCTGTTTGCATACAATTTGGTTTGTAAACAAAAGCATTTGGCAAAATTTTGCTTCCATTCACAAACTCTGCATTGGATGCAAAAGGTGACCAAGGCCATTTTTCCCACACAAACACAAATGCAGCCATCTCCCACAATCATAAAACCAAGGTACTACTGTATTTCAGTTCAAAGCCTCTGAGTTTAATCCCCAGTACCACCAAATAACAAAACAAATCTTTAAAATTTAAAAAATGCTAGGGGTTTCGCTCAGTACAAAGGCCCTGGGTTCAATTTCCAGTAATGTGAAAAGAGAGAGAAAGAAACCAAAAGCTGTAGTACTGGGCCGGGGATTTAGCTCAGTGGTTCTGTCGCCTGCCTCACAAGTGCAAGGTCCCGAGTTCAATTCCCAGTACCAAAAATAACACAAAAACCCAAAAGCTGTAGTACTTGCACATAACTCACATCTTCACATATACTTTAAATCACCTCTAGATTATATAAATGCTTAATATCCTGTGAATGCTAAGTAAAGAGTTGTGCTGTATTATTGTTTGGGATGTAATGGCAGGAAAAATGTGTGCAGAATACAGACATAATTTCTTCAAATATTTCCAATAAATTGTTGAATCTGTGGGTTTGAAACCTACAGACATTAGATTTATCACATATCCAACCCTAAATTCATCCTCAGTCTTTTGATGCATCTCCAAACCATTTAGAATACTCATGCCATAAATTATAGAGAAACTGAGTACCTCCGACCTATGAGGGAGATACCTATGAGGTTTTTATTTTTACGAACATACATTTTAAAGCATAACCCAAAATAGGGCTGGGAGTATATTTCGTTTGTAGAGGATGTGCTTAGCATCCGCAAGGCCTTGGGTTCAGTCCTTGGCACCTGTTTTTAAAAACCCAAAATAGAAAATGAGAGAACACATAGTTCTATTTTTTTTAAATGTATTTCACTTTGGAAATCTTGAGCCAAGAAAATTCTTGTGACTAAGCTGTTGCTATTAGTCACTTTCTCATTGCTGGGACTCAATACCTGACACCAACAAATTAAAGGAGCAGTTTATTTGGGCTTGTTTTTTTTAGAGGTTTTAGTCCAGGGCAGAAGCAGCATGGGGGACGGACCTGCCTCAGAGGAAAGCGGCTGTAGCACCTGAGAACCCTATTTCCCAGAGACGTTCTCCAGATGGTTTATAGGTGTCCTAGCTGTCCCCTATACCAGTTAACTGAAAGAGATTTAGGACATACATGTCCAGTTCTTAAAAGAGATCATGCTTCCTTGTGTCTGCTCCCACTCCCAAAATATAAAATCTCACATCACTAGCACAAAAGAAAGGAAGGAAATGCTAAACTTTACTAAGAATATTTTAGCCACGTATGATGTTGCATGCCTGTAATAACAGCTCCAGAGTCCAGACGATAGCAAATTTGAGGCCAGCCTGGACAACTAAGTGAAACCTTATCTCAAAATAAAAAGGGGCGGGATACAGCTCATTAGTGGTAGAATGCTTGCTTAGCATGTGTGAGGCCCTGTGTTCAATCCTTAGTACCACAAAAAACAAAATCTTTACAACATGCAGCATTATAAAGAACATCATAAAGATCACTGATAACATCCCAGAATTGAGAAGAACCTGTTACCCAGCTAGCCTAAGGCAGTACGAGTTTCACTTATATGTAGTAGACTAGAAATATTCTTTCTTTTGACCTGATGTTCTGTTCTCTTTCAGATCTAAATTGAACCCAACATTCTACATTCCAATTTTTCGGAAGATTGTCCTGCAGTGTGGATTTTGGCCATAACCCTCCAAGAAGAAGTTTTCATTAGTATGATTGTAATTTATTAAGGCAGTTTGATTTGGTTCTAAGGTATTTGTTTCTGTAAAAACTGTTAATGCTGAATTATCTGAAGTGAAATGTTAAGCCCACTTCATTCTTTTGATGTAATGGAGCTCACGGGTAGAAGACCACATGTATTTCAAAAATAGTGCATTACTGCCTTTCCTGCTCTGACCACTCCCAGTTAAGTAAATGGGTGTTTTGAATAAGCCATTTGCTTTGTATTCATTACAGATTGTGATTAATTCCTAACTTCCAACTAGCCTGTTGACTATATAGAATCTCTCTATATTCTGGTTACCTAGATGTTCCCTAAAGATTTTGATAACAATTTAAAGGAGGCCTAAATCTGCATTTGAATTAAAAAACAGTAGGTTTGTTTTCCATATATTAGTAGCATGTGGCTATTTTTATACTAATTTTTATATCATTACATTGTTTTCATGATTTTACTTTGCCATCATAAACATATGGGCTGGGGGAAGCATTTCCCAAAAGTAGTTTTTAGAACCTGGGTTTTAATACCAGTTTTGAATTTATAAGTTTAGTTGCAGAAATTAAACACTAGGTGGCACCCACTTACCTTAACAGTGGAGATACTGGTATCCTCCTTGAGGTGTTTTTTTTAACTACTGTGCATAGAAAATTTCCCAGACAAGAAAAGACTGTTTTGATCATATCTATGTAGGCTATTTTTACAAAACAAAAAGACTGTTTGAAAATGTTATTTTCAGGGCTGGGGATTTAGCTCAGTGGTGCCGCCGCCTGCCTCGCAAGCGCAAGGTCCTGAGTTTGATCCCCGGTACCCAAAAAAAAAAAAAAAAAATGTTATTTTCAGAAGTCATCATGTAGTTATAATAGTGACTGTTTCATAAACATTTAATAAGGGCTGGGTGTGTAACTCAGTGAAAAGTCCCTGGGTTCAATCCTCAGCACAGTGCTGGGAGGAAAAAAAAAAGATGGTCTTCAATTTCTGAATAGAAGAGAGAGCTACTGTGTGAAATACGCTAAAATGTCATGCTGCAGAATATATTATATCCTCACTTTCTAATAAGGTTTTATGATATGGGCGATTTGGTGGTATATGTGCTGCCAAAGTGAGCTCGATATGGGCAGTTTGGATTGATGGGGTTTTTTGTTTCTGTTTTTGCTTGTATTGGTAATTTAGGTTTACCTTTCCTTTTAGTTTATCAGCTTTTCTAATTAAATGAAGTTAGGGCTGAGCTAGTCAAGCTTCACTAGCTACATTAAAATATGCCTTTTTAAAGCAGATGCATATGTAGCTTGTGGAACTTTTACTATGTTGGTCTCTAGAGAACTTTTCAGTGATGGAAAGTAATACACAAAGGAATGAACAAGATCTTTTAAAATCTCACTTTTAACTAATTTTCTTTCTTAGGTATGCAAACTCTGAATTCAAACTATGAGGTACTATAAACATTACTGCAGTGCATTGTTGTGGTTCCTGTTTCTTATTCTGTGGAATTTCTGTGCACTTACCTAGGTGGATGCATCTAAGACCAAGGGCTGGTTTTTAATAACTCAGAAGAAACCATCCTTGAAGAATTTACTTGGCAATTGTCTTCCTCAGTAACCTAAACCTAGGGTATTTATGCTTGTATACCTAAAAGTGTTTTTGCTGAATTTACAGTGTATATATATATATCCTTACGTGTGATTTTACAAAGAATGTTTGAACTCTGCATATGTGATACAGTTTTGGTAGCGATAGTACAATTCAAAAATAAGTTTTTCTATGTACCGCCTCTAACAAATATGGTTTAAGAGTTTTTTAAAAAGTACTATGACCCCAAATCATGTACCTGCTGATGGTATATTTTTTCATGTGTTGGTAATAACAGCCAAATCTAGTGCTGTTTACATCCTGGAAAATCTAGATTGGTAATTATTAAAATAGTTGAGGTGCAATTGTAGCTCATACACAGTGCTACTATGAGAAATTCTTTGACTAACTAGTATTTGATGTGGAAATTGTATCGTTTCGCTGATTCATGTTTCAAGTAAGGAATGGAAGTGATCCACAAGAAAACCTGTTTTTTGTTTTATTTGGTTTTTTTGGTTATATTTTTTATTCCCATAATACAGTGCTATAAGCAATACTCAGAAAATAAAATATTTGAAGTCTAAAAATAATACTTCTTACTGCTAAGAAGGTATAATTATTACTAATCAATTTGATAGGGATACATTTTTAATGCAGTCTATTCTACTTCCACTTAGAATATATGGTGTTATGTTACTAAAGTAGCTAAATAACCAAACAAAGGATTTGTGCAAAAAGACTTGCCAAAATTTACTTGACTGTTGAATCTTGAACATCCAGCTTTTATAGGGACTTCTTAAGAAGCCCATAAACTATGCATGATGAAAATTTTTTTATATTTTATTGAAAAATAGCCATTGGTTTACTCATCACAACTATGGAATCATGGCTATAAATAGCTGCTTAAAAACTGTGTGACTTGTAATTTAACTTAATCTCATCTCTTACATAAATATTACACTATGATGTTGAATAACATCTTTAGTAGGAATAAACTGCTGTCAATCTTGACTTCAGAGAAACTCTGAGTAATCAAATAGATAAAAGCATGTTTTGAGTAAAATAGGTAGAGTTCTACTTCATTTGTATTGTGTACAGATTTAACAATATCCAGCATTGTGGCCTGACAGATAAAAGTATCAGAATGAAAATGAGGTTCCTTGTGTTACCTGACTGTCAAATAATTAAAAGGATTTATATTAATTTAAGATGTTTATACTGCTCAGTAAGGGTAAGTTTCATTTATATTGTTAGGAACACCCACAAATTTTTGCAGACTACTTTGTGTCTTTGGTTTACCTTAAACCCCCTCCCCCTTTTTAAATTTTGAGACAGGGTCTTACTAGTTGCCCAGGCTAAGGTCAAACTTGCAGTCCTGCCTTAGCTTCTCAGAGTGCAACCACTGAGCTTTTTATCCTTGCTTTTTTTCCCTTCCTATTCAGGAAAGAATAACTTCTAAATTAAGGCTTAATACATGTGTGAGAAAACACTAGACTCTCAGGTATAAAATGAACTGAGCAATTTGGAGAGTGTATTGGATTTTGCCCCCACCCCCAGTACTTTTGAGGCAGTGTGCTAGAAAGGGAAGAGCAGGGGTCCCTAGGGTCCAGTGGCCTATACCACAGCCCCACTTTGCCCTCTGCTGCCAGTAACCACAAGTGCTTTCTACAGCTTATCTCAGATTCAGGCTCCAAACCTGTAAGATACAGATGATCAGAACAGTACCTGCCTCACAGAATTGCTGGGAGAATTAGTAATGTAGATGTTTATATATGTGATGCACTTAGAACAGTGTCTGGCTCTTTTCACTTTGATGTCCAGGACTGTGTAAGAAAATGCATGTCTTCTGAATTCTCTACTTACCATATCTTTTGCTTGCAGTCTTTGATTCCTATAATAGAAGGAACAGTAGAATTTATATTTGTATATTCATGTGGACACATAATTGCTTCCAACCTTGTTTAAAATTTCAGTGTAAGACTAAGAAGTCTCAAAGTTGCTTGAAGATATTTTATAGAATACTAACTGCTCTATATTTCTTTATAGAAAGTTTATAGTTGCTAGTATTGATGGCTATGGGCATCTCATTTTTAAGTTTTAATGAACTCTTTTACTATAGAATCATGACAACTAATTAGTACTGACTCGTTTAGAGGTTTCTTTTCTCACCATATGTAATACTGTAAAGAAATCAGATGCAAACTGCTACAACTAGAAAATAAAATATAAACCAGCTTTCAACAATGTATATAATTGATTCTTTTCAAACTATAACATTTTTAACTAAACTTTTGTTCATGGTGATTTTCTGGAAATTTTTTTTTAAATAAGAAAACATACATTATCCATTTTTAAATCTTTGTTTTGACTCTTTCAACTGAATCCATTTAATCACATTCCAGATATGGGGTTGGATTTCTCAACAAACACAATTTGTGGAAAACCTGTGCTGAAGACATGTTCTAATGATAACTCAATTGTCCAGAATAATCTCAGATTGCCAAAAATCAAATTCAACAGAGCTGCTTTTGTACTATGCAAAGACCTATAAATGAAGTAAATATAGTTCTGGCCAACTTGCTTACTTTTAAAAGGCTAGTCTTTATTCCAGTCATGTCTTGTTTAGTTCACAACTTGATAATGGTAGATCAGAAAGTGTGGCCAGCTAGGTATGGTGGCACATGCCTGTAGTTCCAGCATTCAGGAGGCTGAGGCAGGAGGATCTCCATGAGTTTGAGGCCTGCCTGGGCTACATAGTGAGTTCAAGGCCAGCCAGCCTGAACTACATAGGTAAGACCCTGTCTCAAAAGAAAAAAATGGGGCCAAAGTCTGAGTCAGCTCCCATTGCTGATTACTGTTAGATATAGAATTAGTTGGATTTTGCATATTATGAAGTTTATTACATATGATAATTTTGTGTGTTTTTTGAGACAAGGTCTCATGTAGTTAAGACTGGCTTTAAACTCATTATGTAGCCTAGGCTGGCTTCAAACTCACAATGATCCTCCTGCCTCAGCTTCTTGATTGCTGGAATTGCAGATGTATACCACCACACCTGGCTCATATTTATGATTTTAAACATCTCTTGAACCCCAGGGCCTTGCACATGCTAGGCAAGTGCTCTACCACTGAGCTACATCCCCAGCCCTGGAATTTTCTGAATTTTAAATGTTTGTGAGAATATTGAGGATAAAGTTAAACTTGGTTTTTCTTTTTTTTTTTTTTTTTTGGTACTGGGTCTCGAACTCGGGTTCGATGCACTTGTGAGGCAGGTGATGGAACCACTGGGCTAAATCCCCCGACCCTGGTTTTTCTATATTCTGAGCACAGATTTC